CGCCTGTGCTTTCAAGAAATTGTGGCCCCAACACGTCTACTAGAGAATATAGCTTACTTAAAAAAAAAAAAAAAAAACTCGCCAAACCCAGGCCTCGCCTGTGCTTTCAAGAAATTGTGGTCCCAACACGTCTACTAGAGACACACTGAGGGCACCCTACGTGGCCAGAAAGATGGGTTGTATACATTGCCCCAACTGCAATTTGAAAATGTATCCTGGCCCATAGTGCAACTATAACTCATTTTTGTGACTCCCCCCCGCGAAGTTTGCCCAAGAAAGAAAAGGGTAACTTCAGTAGAGTCACAAAAACGGGTTGGAATTGCACTATGGGCCAAGAGAGAGTTTGCAATTGCACATCGGGCACCCTACCTGGCCAGAAAGCTGGGTTGTATACATTGCCCGAACTGCAATTTGAAACTGTACTATCTTGGCCCATTGTGCAATAATAATGCAATTATAGCTCGTTTTTGTGACTGGGGTGCAGTTTCCACAAAAGTATGTCCACACCGTCAGTGTGGACGGGGGACCTAACTAAACTCGCATGTTTGGAAAAAGGTCCTACCAAATTGAACAAGTGCAGGCTGCGAGTTCCTGCGTTTTTGGTGAGCGCTCACCGAGTGAAATCTGCACGAAGTCTGACTACTTTCTGAGAAAATGGAATTGATTGTGGCAAGGCCGACCACACCGAAAACCACGCTTGGTGAGTTGTGTGCACCACCCACCAATTGTGAAAAAGACACCATATGACCGGTGTATGGGCCTCACTCCACTACCAAAAGGGGTAACTTCAGTAGAGTCACAAAAACGACTTATAATTGCATTATGGGGCAAGATGCAGTTTGCAATTGCAGTTCGGGCAGGGGTAACCATCGGTAGCGCGAGAGTAGCTGCTAGTGGCCTCGCTCCACTACTCTCCATATGCACAAAAGACAAAAAATATGTCCACATGCACAAAAGACAAAAATATGTCCACATCCACAAAAGACAAAAAATATGTTTCCCAGGTTCTAGAGGAAGATTTATTTTTTTTATATCCTGATGATGTACTTTGCCTTGGGCACTGGGCCCTGTTAATAAAAGTGCAATTTTGGAAAGAGAAAAAAAAAAAAGAAAAAAAAAAAAGAGATTTATTCTTTTTATTTATATTTATATTTTTTTATAACTATTCTTTTTTCTTCTCTCAATCTTGTTTGTAATAACTTTGCATATATTTTCCTCATCTATCTCATCCCTTCGCTACTCTATGTATAGTACGGGGGAACGCCAACCAGACCTGGAACTCTCCCCAGCCCACGGGCCCAGGGGGTAGGTTGGCGCAACAGCAGTGGTGAGAGAGCAAGGCTTGTATTAGCCCCTCATCATGATGATGCGGGGTGATCAGGCATTGCCGACGGGGGAACCCGGCGGTGCTAGTGCCGAGCATCTTTGGCCAGTCACTCGCACCGCCCCCTACCCCCTCCAACCCCACATTAGCGGTGTCTAATGGCCAATATCATTGCTGCACAGCAACCAACAATATCAGCCAAGGTCCTGCCAATGCTGGCTTGGAGGGCCAGCCGGGTATCTCTAGCTGGTAGAACACCAAGCTTGCCCATTCCCATTTTGCTCATTCGGTGAGTAGTGGAGTGAGGCCCTATATATGACGCTTTGGGGCTTGTTCGACACTCCTCGGGCCGTCCTCGGGGCCCGAGGAAATTCTCCCGTCGTCGCCCGAGGAAATTCGCACTGTCGTTCCACTCATCCTCGGAATTGTTCCCCGAGGACGATTCCTCAGGGCCTTCCGCGGCCAGTTTCATGTATCGACGAGCGGATGCGGGGGGGGAGGGGCGGTTGGTCCATCAAGGTGTGTCCGTGCCGACGTCGTTGGTCCAGCTCGGGCGGCCGTCGCGAAATTGGAAGTTGGCGGCGGAAAAAAAAATGGCACGAAAAAGGCGCGCAGTCCCGGGTTCAAAATTTGAATTTCCGCAAGCGACCGTCTAGTACTGTGGGCGTCCCTTGCAGCTGACGGCAGCAATGTTCCTCGGCGGAAGCGTTTCGGTACGGGGTGGCGGCTGCGTTTCTGTGGGCACGCGGAACATACATGTACGCGTCCGAAGCAGCAGACACGCCGTCACACGATCGCCGTCGTTGTCGTCTTCGCAGGCGAGCTTGATCGTCGACGTGTACGCTGTGCACCCAGGTCGTCACTCGCAGCAGCGTTGTTGTGCGGCCCGCCACACGTGGACTCTTCTGCACTTGGCGACACCCACGTCGACAGTACGAGTTTCGGTGATGGCCATGCACGGGGGGCCGAGACGTGACACACTGAGCAAAGCGGAGAGAACGGCGGTGGCAGCGGCCGTGAACGCCATCCTCTTCTGGTGTCAACTGCAGAGGGGCGAGGGGAGGATGAGAGCGGCCATTCTCGCATGGAGGAAGAGGACGCTGCAGTCCACGAATGTGGAGGGGGAGGACAGTGGTGCCATTTGCGACGCCGTGCTGCAGGTTTGCTACACCATGGGGTGTGGAGCATTCCCCAGAGCGACGCACAGGTGGTGGATGAAGCGACGGACAGGCGGGATGTGGGAAGATCTTCGGCAATGCGACGACGCGACGGCGGACTACTTCAAGGACAAGCAGCGGACATTGGCCATGAAACGCGCGTGGACGACGCCAGCAGCTAGAAGACAACCGTTGTAGCAGACCCACCAGGTGTGGTGCTTCGCTGGTGACAGAGATGAAAATGGAGGAAGAAGGAGGGACCAAGATGCACAGCGCAGCTCCCCACGCAAGACTCCAACGCACGTACTCCAAAATGTGCAAGTGAAGAATGAGACTGAAAATAGACAATGGCTGGGGTATACCCCAGTGGACGGACGGGACTGGACTGGACTGGCTGGTACCGACAGAGGTACCGGCCTGGACTGGCCTACCCCGAATACAACACAGGCCTGTGAGAACAGGCCAAGGGGCTGGTCTCACAGGCCAACCCGAGGTCCGCTACACGATCCTCGGCCTGTGATGGATCGCCTAGATACAAACATGCTTCYGCCAAGAAGCGGAACTCTACCAAAGAAAARAAAACCTGAGTAGTCTAGGATGCGGAGCAAGCTCCATGYTGAGTCCATGCGATGCAACCTAGGATATAAAATGTCACAAAACAGCAATGTCACAACTAACAGCCTAAGTGAAAGCAGAAACAACTAACTAACATACATGTCCTAGGAAAGCAGAAAGTAGTGACAACTAGATCCTAGAATGTTGGAGGCACTAGCCTCAGTCTGGTAACAACTGACTAGTGTATATGTCCTAAGAACAGCAAAAGCAGAACAACTAAATCCTAGAAATGTCAGAGGCAGTAGCCTCAGTCTGCGAGCAACAAAGCAACAACAAGTCTATCATATGTCACATGAGAAGTGTGTCGCAAACCAAAGGGTGGGATGGTCTCTGAGGGTGGCGAATGCAGCCTAGGGGTCGAAAACTCCTAAGGGCATCCACACATAGATAACAGGGAGACACATGTCATCAGGCTCAAGGAGGGTAGGGAACTGAGAGCGAACAGAACCAATGACCCTAACAGATAGACCATCAGGGCGGGTAACGCTCGACTAAGGGGTGCCCGCTATGGAGGGTCGACCATGCAAAGGAACAGGGGAACTTGGTAAACTGGGCGCACCTAGATGAAGCATGCGGGGCTGCCTAATTAGGGCGTGAGGGGCAGCGAAGATTAGAAAGATGATGGGTGAGGGAATCATGCAAATGACTCCTAAAGTGAGGGAAGTCAGAGCTAGATCCGTAAGATGGGAAGCCAGAGCAACGCTACGGTCCCGATGCCTATGCGTATACCAAGGGAGAGACCAACTCAGAGGAACCCGGCTAAAGGGAGACCATCATGCGACACAAGCAGGGTACTGTACAGGGTAGAGTGGTAAGAGTGTGGCGACGTCTTAAGTAGGCAGAGCTGATCGTGATGAAGTCCATGATGCTGCCAATGACGTCCACGATGAGAAGTCCGGAATGCCGTCGAGGAAGAGCCGCAATGTCGACGAGATGAAGTAGCAAAACTGATGTGGATGGAGTACTGAGAAGTCAAAGACGTGGGAAGGTAAGTCAGAGTCAATCGTCGTATCGAGCAGAACGACGACGAGTGCGTTGTGGACGCTCAGAAGCATCCAGCTGCTGCTGAAGGTCTGCCTCAGATGGAGCAGGCTCGACTTCAGCGGTCTCGTCAATCGGAGGAGAAGGAGGAGGGTCAGTGGGCTGAGGAGGAGCAGTGAACCCAGCACGACGAGCACGGTCATAGGCACGCACCAACATGCGAGCGTGCTGCAAGTGCTCGAGGGGCTCCCAGATACCCTCCTCATCAAGGTAACCCTTCCAACGTACGAGATATTCGACGTGGGGGGGGTTATCGTCGGTGACTCGGCGACCAATGATGTCTGAAATGAGGAACTCCTCGTGACCGTCCACCATGATGGGTGGAGGACGCTCGTATGGTCATCCAGCGAAATGCTCAGACGGTCTGCGGTAAGGACGCAGTAACGAGACGTGGTAGACATCATGCACACGAGTCTGGCGTAGGTAGTCGGGCAGCTTCACACGAAAGCTGACCGGGCTAGATGTCGTATCAGAACCGACGGCCTGGAGGATGCGGCATGGGCCAAAGAAGCGACGCCGAAACTTGCGAAGCGTGTCCGCTTCGAGCTGTAAGTGGCGGGCGTCGATAAGCACATCATCACCGACTTTGAATGGGTGATCCATTCTCGATCGGTTCGCACGTGCTGCCATGCGAGTCTGGGAAGCGGCTATATGCTCATGTGCGGTCTTCATAATCGACGTCATGTGTGCAACCCAATCATCCAGCGTGAGAGAACTCGTGTTAGGGTGCATCTGGGACGGTCGAAGGAAGTCCGCGGGAACACGAGGGTGATAGCCGAGGTCGTAATAGTAAGGCGACATCCCCGTGGCTGGCGAGACGACTTGGTTGTAGGCTATCTCCGCGTGGGCAAGATGAAGATCCCACTGCTGGTCGTCACGAACAATCTTTCGAAGAATATCTCCGAGAGTCCTGTTCGTGATCTCGGTCTGACCATCAGTCTGAGGATGGTAAGATGAGGAGAAGCGGAGCTGAGTGCCGTATACCTCGTGGAGCCGTCGCCAGAATCGACTGGTAAAGCGCGGTTCACGGTCAGATATGATGCTCAGAGGTAAGCCGTGGTCATGCACGACTCGGTCGAACACGATGTCGGCGACCTCACGTGCACTGATGGCATAGCGGCACAGAACAAAGCGTGCACGCTTCGTGAAGCGGTCGACGACGACCAGGATAGTATCATGACCGCGAGGGGTCGGAGGACGAAGAAGACTGATAAAGTCCATCGAGATGGACTGCCAACGACCCTTAGGGATAGGAAGAGGCTGCAACAAACCATAAGGCAAGTGGTTCGCACTGTTCACCTCCTGACAGGTCGGACACTCTGCGGCGAAGTCCTTCAAAAAGTCCTTGCGCTTCGGCCAGACGTACAGGCGGCTCACACGAACCAACGTCTTGTGGAATCCCATATGACCGGCAGCTGGCTGGTCATGGAACTCTGCTACTGCTCGGACACATAGCTGTCCAGTGGAGGGAACGCAAATACGGGGCTCTCTGGTGCCCTGTGAACCGTGCCAGTACACAAGACCGTTGTCCCCGAGAGAGTAGTTCGGGACGGTCTTGCCACTCTGAAGGGTCGCGTGGATGTCGCGATAGTTGGGGCAGTGGCGGTACTGAGTGCGAAACTCGTCGATCACCGAGTGGTGGACGGTGGTGACCGAGATG